GATCCGATTATTAGATCACGAGAATTTTGGCTATAAAAATTGCTCCGAGGGGTGCTTAATTTCGGAAGTATACGGTAGCCCCTTTTTACAAATCTTCAACACTTTTTTCAATTGTCACTTGACTTAAAATTTCGTGTTTATATTCAACAAGATCTTGGTTTTTCAAGATTTAAAATAGAACTAATGGCGTTGCTAAAGGGTAGATCGCGTAAAAATACAGGATCATACACATTAGGTGGTAGATAAAGGTTTCGCATATTTTTATATTAGAGCTATTGTCTAGAGCTGTGCAATTCCAAATTTGAAGGTATGACTTAGCTTATATACAAATTATGTTATATCGAATATTAATGAATAATACAATATTGAAAATTATTATAAATTGATATAGGTGTTTCGAAAATGAAAGAAAGGCATTTAAATAGTATTTGAATGTGATTGTAGATTTATTTGAAATTTCCTAACTAATTCTATTCGAATCTCATAACAGAATTGAAATTAGATATTTAAATACCGTGATTTATTAGTATCAAGTGATTTTTTTTTATCGATTTCATTTTGCAGAATGTTCGACAAAATTTTGATCTGCTTTATTTGTTATTATATCACAATGTAGAAACATATCATGAATATAATATAATAGGTGGTTACATGCAATCTTTTTAAAAAAAAATTTTCTGTCATCTTCGCGCCTATGTACGTACGTACGTTTCCCGAAATTAGACAAGCCAATTATAACACAGAAAAGATTTATTAATCATGTGATCAAAGTTGCCCAATAAAATTTAAGGGAGCCCTAGTTGTGATTGGACGCATGAAATCTCATCTTTACTAGATCACGCCATCTTAGCACAGCAAAATCAAAACCATTTCTTCAATAAAAAAAAAAAAATTAAATTATTTTTATTGAGTGAAAATATTTATCCAGAATTCTTTCTGCTAATAAAAAAAGATCGAAATAATCTATAACATTAAAAATTCGTGCTTCTAATACAACCAAGAATAAATTTGCTGAAACCTACGTTTACAAGCTTGTAATTTTAAAATATATTCAACTCCGTTGCAAAACTCCTTAACTATATCTGGGCTGCGATTTTTACTTTTGTTTAAAAAATAATTAACACAAACATTTGAAAGTTTCGAGTTCATTTTTATTGATATTGATGCAATACTGCAAATAAATAAAACGCTACTGCGAATTACTAATTAATGCATTTGTTTTAATACTCATACAATTATGTAACTGAAGTTTTCAAAAACTATTTTCCCGAAAGGAAATAATTAGTTGATATTATGTTCTTTCGGGAAAATAGCTTTCGGAAATTGTACAGTAACACTGATATAATACTGCTAGCTTGCTAATTAATTATACTTGAAATAAATATTACTACTAAGTTGCTAAATAATTAATAAATTTTTTTACACTTCCAAAAAAAAAAGAATTTTTTACACGATTTTTACAGTAATATTAGATAAATCTGCGAAAATTTATTTAGTCGTTCACAGTTCACACGAATTATTTACTAAAAACTTGAAAGTGCTAGATTCAAAAAGAACAAAGCGTTAGTATTAAACAGCGAAAAGAATTTTTAAAAAAACTAAATTCAAAAAGAGCAATAGTACATTATTAAACAACGAAAAGAATTAAAAAAACCCAAATTCAAAAAGAGCAAAGCGCTAGTATTAAATAGCGAAAAGAAGAAAAAAAAAATTAATCAATCTGCAATCATTTCGAAAATAATATTTATTTATTTGAGAAATTTTTTAGCCACCCTAATCAGTGATGAAATCGGTTTCGTCCAATGGAAAATGATATTTGTATTCGTCCAATAGGAAGTGGAGGGGGAATTAGTAAACCCAAATTTTAATCAAATATACTTGAGCATATATGTGTTTATTTAAATCTTCCCCTCATCCCCTCACGTCTGAACCCAAAATGTTGACGTTAACCGACTAATTAACTTTGAGCATCCTTATTAAGGATAAATGAATTGGAAATATTTCCCCAACGATAAATCAACAAAAAGCTATTCACAATAACATGCTTCAACATCACAATCTTTGGCAAGTTTCTTGGCAACTTTCTCCTCCACAGGGTTCTTCACCATATGGATACACTATTTAGTAAAAATTAACGTATTAATGAACTATACTTGATGTATGCACAAAAATAAAGACGATAAGAACACTTACATGAATATGGCTCATGATACTTCTTATTCCAAGCTTGGGCTGTAGCTTCAAAATTAATTGATAACAGCTCTTTAGGCGACATATCATTATGATTAATGATTCGACCAATGTGCTTTTTAGTAAATGAACGATAAATTGATGCATGGAGCTGATGAGTGTGCCAACAAAGGTCGATATCAAACGTAGGTACAAGGAAAATGGTTCACTTCTCTTTTATTAATGATAAGAATTTAAGATAACGTGTTATGGCGTTTTCTTGAACTTCTAAACGATCAATCCACTTATTTTTAACTATCTTTTCAGTAAATCTACGTTGCCGATATACTGCACTAACAAGATCAATTGAAAATGATAATGGAATTCCACTATAGGCAGGTATGACACGCTGGACAATTTCTTTCTTCATATTTTTAATTTGTAAATTGAGTCGTTTGTTTATATGCGCCCATTCATATCTATCACAATTTGTTAATACATTAATGTTATTAGCAGTGAATAATAATTGATATTTTCTAATTGAGAGCTCTTACGAATATGAGCCATCTTTTCGATCAATTAGAGTCCCACTAAATAAAATCAAATAGTATTAATTACAATATTATAAAATTTTATACTATATAATAATTAAAAAATATAACAAATGATTTACCCAATCAGTCTGGATTTATCCTTATTCCAGGCGCTAACATCATCAATAAATCGTTTTACGCTTAGGGTTTCAATAGAATGTTGAGCGTAACATATTAGACAATTTTCATTTGCATCAGAGGTTTGCACATATTTCTCCCTATATTCAATCTTAAAATTAGCAAATGAAAAGTGGAGATCGGAAATTAAACGTTTCCTCACCATGGAATATGTATGTTTGATTTACACCAAGGGCAAGTTACCTTAAAATCAGAACTATCATTTGGATCAAGAACCCATGGTTGTTTAGTTTTTTCCGTCCAAATACGTTCAGATGCAGGATCAGTATGACTACCATTACTTTCTCAAATATCGTACTTAATAAGGAAATAGAAATTATTTAAAAGCTCAATTGAAATTAACAAGAACTAAAAAAAAAATCACTTACTAATTTTTTTAAAGGACAATCTGGAAACTTTTGATAAGGATCATAAATTCTACACAAGTCTTCGTAGTATCGCAATGGTGAAAGTAAATGTGAGTGCCAAATATATCAAACATCTAATATTAAAAGAGCTTATTAGTCTAGAAATGAACAATATCTCAGAAGTTTCATGTCTTTCATTTACCTATGGGCGGAATTAGCTCAGCTTCTTGGTCTAAGTTTTGATTACAAAGTAAATTCAGCCAAAGTACATAACGTTCTTGCGCACGTAATAAATATCTCGTATCAACACATTTATCCGATTGCTCCAACATATTGAATTTTCTCAAGAGAACCAAATGTGCACGCAACATTGCTGGATTTACAACACCATATGTGTCAACAAATTGGATTTTACAAGGTAGTTTATCAGGCTTTTTTTTTTTTCTACAAAAAATTGAGCAGTCAAAAATTCCAATAAACATTTATACAGTAGGAGTAAACAAGTTATTAGATTGTGAAATTTCTTTATATAGTTATATTACGGGTTTATTACTATAAGTGAGCACAATGAGTATCCGATCTGCATTCCATCAGAAATATATTTAGAAATTTAAATAAGTATTATTCTCATAAATATCTTTGAAAAAAAAATCAGAATAGCTGATCTCAATCACAAAATCACTAGTAAACGTGAATTTCGGAATGAATCAAATAGATACGTAATTTTATTTCTTTTGCAGGGATTTTAAAGAATGCCCGTTAAGTAATACTATGATAAGACATGCATCCGCCCTGGCTAAAAATACAATATACAAAGATACTATAAAATCCTTGGGGTATTATTCTCATAAATATCTTAGAAAAAAAAATCGGAAATAGTTGATCTCAATCACAAAATCACTAGTAAACGCGAGATCCCGGAATTAATCAAATAGATACAGAATTTTATTTCTTTTGCAGGAATTTTAAGGAACGCCCATTAAGTAATACTATGATAAGACTTACATCCGCCCCAGCAAAAAATACAATATACTACGAAATCCCTGGGCAAATTTTACTAAGTTCTTATACCATATAAATGTATAAATGGGAAATAACGCTCGTGGGCATTATTTTGAAAAATAGCATATATGGTCTCAAATTAGCGCCCATAGGAGTTTTGAATAAACGTGTAGCTTAATATAATATATAATATACTGGCTTATTTATTCGTGCTTTGTTACTGTACAGTGACTATTTTATGTGTTTAATGTCGAATGAGAACTCGTGATTAGGAATAAATCCTTTATGGTTAAAATGATTAAATGCATCAGAATTTGCCGATTTTCATTTGGTGTCATTCAATTGACATTTGTACTGATCTCTTTATTATTTTACTAGAAAACTAACATGATAATTTAGCGGCTTTGCCGTTCAGTTTTAACTAATAATTATAACAATTAGATACTGCCAGCAATTTTTATAATCGACCTAAATTTATCGATTTCAATACTCACCAAAATCATCTGAATTTTTTATCATATAAAATACATTACGACTGTAGTACGCACTACCATCGCAACCCATTGTAGTACAAGTGATGTATTGTCGTGAGTCATAATATGAAGTTTATGCAAACGGAAAATGTGTACCAGGTTGGTGCGCCATGGTGGCTTGATACTTCTGATGTTCAATTTTTATGATCATTACATTTTATGTTGATACGTATACATATTATAATTATGCAATTATTTAATTAAATAGTCGTCTTTCCATATTGATGTAAATAATGTAAATAGCAAAAATATTTCTTATCACAATTGTAAAATGCAAAATTCGTATTAAACAAGAACAAATAAATGGTTATAAAAATAAAAAATTTAATATTCATATTATAAATATAAAATTTAGGGCTCAAAATTATTCAA